AGGCCCAGACTACCCTGCTTCCCCCACCCTCTATCTTGCCCCAAGCCTGCCTGCCCCCATCATCTTGGCCAGGCTTTTTTCTGTCTGGGCCAAGCTACCTCCTACATGATCCCGAAGGGCTTTCCACTATGATTAAGGCAGGCTCAAACCCAGCCTTGATTTCAAAGCCCATATCTGGGGTGCCTCAGCCTTCCTCTCTTTGCTCCTCTTCTCTGCTACAGTGTGCTCTCCTTTCTTACACAGTCCTACCTAATAAGACAGATAAAGAGGGACAGAATAATTGAAATGTTCATCTGTTCACTTTAGATATCCCCTGAATGGAATCCCTGACTGACCATATCCCATCTCTGCTTGAATGTTTCCACTGTCTGGGAGCTTATTCCCTCTCAAGTCAACTCATTCCATTATGGAACAGTTTAGCTGTGTGAAACTTCTTCTTTATATTAAGTGGAAATCTATTTTACTTTAACTTCTGCTTTTTTGCCTTATTCTGCCCTCCGGGGCCACACAGAGTGTCTAATTCATCTTAAAAAGCCTAATGGTTCATCATGCAGGTTGTGAAACCAGATGACCTAGGTTCAACTCCTGGCTCCACCATTTACTTGCTGTGTAGCCTTGGACAATTTTCTTTATCTTTCTTGGCCTTCATTTCCTCATCTGTAAAATGGAGATGATAATAACACCTGCCTCATAGAATTATATAAAGATTAAATGAGCTAATAGATCTAAAGCTCCTATAATAGTGCCTGGCACATCATAAGTGTTCAGTAAATTAAATGATCTAAAGAGAGCTGTTTTATCTCCTCCCTTCCTCTTTTTTCCTTAGATTAACATCCCTTCAAAAATATTATTCATGTAGCATGGTTCCCACATCCTTCCGGCTCTTGGTTATTGTGCTGAATATATTTTAGTTTGCTAGGACCTCTTACAATGTTATCCCTAATGCACAGTGGAGCCACTGCTTCTCGGGACCTGGAACTTATTCTTTTATTAATGTGGTGAAGACTCATTAACTTAGCTAAAGCTCTCTCACACAATTGGCTCATGTTGATCTTGTGGTCAGCTAAATTCCCAAGATCCTTTTCACCTGAGCTGCTACCAAAAATGTATTTTAGATCCTCAAGAGGCTCTCCCTCTCCAATCTCTCTGAACTCCAGACCCTCCACGCATGTGCTTTGACCTTTTCCAATATGGCACCCAAGTCTAGAAACAAGTCTAGAAGGGATTCTCTCTCACCCCCTACTCAGTTCATCTGTTTCTTCTAGCCTTTAAGCAGACCTTGGTAATCTTCTTTCTCATAATGCCTTCCAGATTGATCACACTATTGCTGCTGTTTCCACTTGCATATTCCCACCCTTATGGTGAAGTTTTGCCTGTCTTCTTATCATCTGTAATGCACTGACCCTTGGAACCCATGCTAGTGTTCCACATCCTGGTTTTGAGGTCTTACCATTATTCTGCCTTTTCCTTCTGTGTACATGTGGCTCCTCAGAGGACTCTGGTCTGGTCTACAGTATTCTAGCAGAGAGCAGTGTAGAGTGAGAATGTGACACAGCATATAATGGCCCCTGTGGTCATGCCACTTATCATGAGTCCCTGCTTCCTCTAAACTTCCCCACAGAGTGACATCCTGTTCCTATGTGCTGCAGTGGAGGAAGGCTGGACAGTCTGACAGACACCTGGCCAGGCAGGGAAGAAGTGAGTAGTTCTGACGTACCCTGCTTCCCCCACCTCTTCAAACTCTTGGCTATTTTTTTTTTTTTTTTTCCTTCTTTATTTTCCTTCCTGTCTTGAAAGAGCTATGGGGTCTGGACCATGGTAAGGTTTCCTGGGGACATTCCATAAATTCCTCAGAGCTGTTTCTCTGGAGAGGGGTGGGGTGATCAGTGGATAAAGGGGAAGCTGGCAAGAGTCAGGGTATGAGCATCAGGTGCCTGGGAGGAGGGTGAGTAGAAAGGAAGGGTGAGTTGCACAGAGGAGGAAGGAGGCGGATTATGAGCTCATACATACAGCCAAGTGAGGAGCAGCAGCCAACTTACAGGTTGGAACTAGCTGCAGGCAGCCATGCCTCTAGCCTTGCCCTTGAACCTGCTGACTTGCCTCCAAATTGACTTGTCCACCAGGGTTCCAGCAGGGCCAAGAGAACTTGGCCAACTTGGGTGTGTGGCTTGGAAAGATGGCCCAAGCAGCACCCCGTGTGTGTTGCATTCACACACGCAAGCACAGACATATGGGGAAGGTCAGCACAAGGGTCTTCTAGAATCTGGGTGAATAGTTCTTCTTTTATTCATTCCACTTTCATCCATTCAGCAAACATTAATTCCTTAACTCCAGTCTAGGGTTAAAGAGAGTGGAGGCACTAGCTTCTGGCTGAACTCTATAGCAAAGCCTGGACCTGAAGTTTTGTCAACCTCTATCTCCAGTTTCTGTAGCTGCTGCTTTAAGTAAAACAAGTTCCAGACTGGGCTCAAGCCAAGAAGCAACTTGTCCTAGGTCTCTATGCTTGGGTAAGTAATTTCTCTTCTCTGGGCTTCAGTTTCCCTGCAGAATAATGAACACACTGTGCCAGATACTCTCTGAGATTCCTTAGAGAATGGTTCTATTTCTCAAAACAGTTATAGGTTCTATCATATGTGAACATGTGTTGGAGGGGACTAGGGAGGAGAAAGGGAACACATATTAATAAAGCTACCCCTGCCTTGAACAGACTTTTCAGTAGAATAAAGGAGACAAACAGAATGTCATGCAAATGATCCACAGCAGAAACTGAACATGGGGGAAAGAAACAGGGAAGGTGCTGAGCACCAGCCTAGCTGTGGCTGAAGTTGGCCCTTCGAAAGCTTTTATGCAGTTTAGAAGAAGGTGGTCTCTGTGGGTAGATGACTTGTAAGCGGAGTCCCTCTTGAGAGATGTCTGTACACTAGGATATATGGCTTGACAAGGGACCCTCAGTATGGCTTTACACCCTACAAGACTCCTTGGGAAGGAGCTATGGTAGTGTAGTGGTTGAGGCATTTGACTGCTAATTATAAAGGTTGATGGTTCAAACCCATCAGCTGCTCCATGGAAAGAAGGGAAGGCAGTCTGCTTCCATAAAGATTTGCAACCTTAGAAACCCAACGAAGGTCACTGTAAGTCAGAATCAACTCAATGGCAATGAGTTTGGTTTTATAAGGAGACCCATTTGGAGCCCTGCTGGCACAGAGGTCAAGGACTTGGCTGCGAAACAAAAGGCCAATGGTTTGAATCCACCAGCCACTCCACAGGAGAAATATGTGGCAATCTGCTTCTGTAAAGATTATAGCCTTGGAAACCCTAGTGGCAGTTCTACTCTGTTCTATAGGGTCGCTATGAATTGGAATCCACTCGACAACAATGAGTTTTGTTTGGTTAGACCCTTTGGCCCAAAGCTCCTTTTCCAGGCACAATCTGTATCACAGTATATGAGAACCCTAGCCAAGCAAAGATGTACCAGTCCTGGGGGCCAAGTTAAACCCTGTCCCAGGGAAATATTCTAGTTTTATATCCATCTTAATAGAAACTTCTTTCCTTTCCAATTTGGGAAAGCAAACTCAAGGACCACACTTCCCTTCTCTTCCATGTATCTGAAGCTAAACTAGAGTCCACAGTCTCAGGCAGGGTCCAAGGCACAACAGGGAACATGTAGGGAGCTCTCACTGAGCTAGGAAAGGGTTAAGGGGCTTTGGTGTCAGGAGACCCAGAAGAGGTCTGGGAGGTTCAGCACCTGCACATAAACCCAGACCAGTTCTTCTCACCTCCTCTGGCAGTAACTCAGAATAAGTAGAATTTAGAAATTCTTCCCTGGGCTTCCTCCTTCTACCCTCCTTACAGTTACTCCCAAACAACTTCCCTAGCAAGGTTCTAAATGGATTAGGAGGACAGAGCTGTAGGGGTAATGTCAACATCAAAGTGTGAGATGCAGTGAGGTCTCCATGTGCCTTGATCCACAGGTGGTGGGACTGAGGAAATGTGGCAGGAGGGTAAGCTTGGGAAAAGGGGATTAGCTGGGACCAGAAAGAATGTGGCTGCTGTAATCCCACATAATGAACCAGATTGTGCTCCTTCTTCGCACCCTAAGCACTAAACAAGCAGGTACAAGCTGTTGGCTTTAGCTTGCTGCACAAGGGGCTCCCATGCTGCCAGCCTTAGACAGCCTGTTCCCTCCAGCTGGCAGAGATGCCCAGGGCAGGCAATGGAATATGATGTCTACTTCCTCCTTGCAGCAAAGGTCTGGGAGTGAGAAGAAGGGAAGAGTCTGACTGCAGGAATAGAGAAGACAGGTGATTGGCCTCTTACCACCACTATTTGTCCCAGTTTCTTAGAATTGGGGTTCATAATTTGCTCTAACCAGCTTCTCTGGGCTCAACAAAGGCTTTTGACCAGTACAGTCTGAGGAGGGAGTTTAGATATGGGTTATTCATAATGTAGATAATTAAAAAAAAAATCAGTTCTTTTTGATTTGGGAATGAAGAGTGATTTTTTTCCCCCTAGGAATATGCACCTTCCTAATTCCTTGAAGTTTTAGGAGCTCTGGTAGCATAGTGGCTAAAGCACTTGACTGCTAACCAGAAGGCTGGCGGTTCAAACCCACCAGCCACTCCTCGGAAGAAAGGTTGGGCAATCCTACTTCCGTAGTGATACTGCCTCGGAAACCCAAGGAGGGGTCGCTATGAGTCGGGGCCAACTCGAAGGCACATAACAACAACAACAACAACAATTCCTTGAAGTGTGAACAAGATTGAAATTCCTTCAGATTCCCCAGAAACCCATTGACTGATGACTGAGGGAAGCAATAGAAGATCATCCACAAAACTGACCTCCTTCTACCCCTCCCACCTCATTCCCACTGCCACCCCCTTCCAAAAAAAAAAAAAAAAAGAGGTATCTGTAGTCAAATCTCCTGCAACAGCTACCTTCCACGAGGGACTCTTGGCAGAGTAACTGACCAGCACTATGTGTCTGAGCTCACAGCCTCTTACCTTCTTCAGCTTGCCACTCTTAGTCCCCACAAAAACCACGCTGTAACCATTGTAGACATAGGAGGCCACGGAGGTCATGCGGTCCCGGCTGGTGGTGTACAGGGTCAGGCCCTCCACTGGAGTCGAGCCTCCAAGCGGCTGGTTGATGTCCAGTCCACAGAAGTTGTCATCAATGGGGACTGGCTGTAAAGAAGAGGAGTCATTTGGGGTGATCATTAGTGGAGGCATGTCTGAGTCACCCTATAGCACCTTCACCCCTAACCATCAGTTCTAAGATACCAGGCCTCAGAGATGCACAGACACAGGGTTCAGGGTCCTAACACATGCTGGAAACAAAAACTTCGCACCAACTGACCCACAAATTGACTCCATATTGGCTCTTATAGAATTAGATAAAGGAACAGGCATTCCTCCCACTCACTTAAGAGTCACCCTTGATTTTTCTGGGGCAATTTGTAAAGCTGATTGCTGGAACCAGTCTTATGTTTATTTTAGTGTCCCTGTGGACCATGTCATTCTGTGGGCATCTTTCTATTTTAGTCAAAGGTCCACCTAGTGAATACTCAGTCCAGAGGCAACATTATAGAAGATTTCTATCAGCCTGGAAAATGTTTCTTGTTTGTTTCTGTAGCTGCAGGGTTTCCCTTAGGGCACAAGGAATTTTAAGCCATTCAACTATTTACTACTCTATGTTGGGAACAAAGTCCCTGGGTGGTGTAAAAGGTTAATATGCCTGGTTGCTAACCAAAAGTTGGTGGTTCAAGTCCACCTAGAGGCACCTTGGAGGAAATGCTTGAAGATCTACTTCCCCAAAATCAGCCATTGAAACCTCATGGAGCACGGTGCTACTCTGACACATGTGCGTGTTGCCATGAATCAGAGCTGAGTTGACTCAACAGCAACTAGTATGTATGCATGTTGGAGACAGATTGAAAAACATTTTAATGATAATATTATTGAACAGTGCCTTATGCTTTGGAAAAATTACTTAATCTACATAAACCTCAGTTTCTTCATTTATAATGATACCTGTCAACCTTTCTAAAAGAATTACTGAAAAGCAAATGAAATAATGCATGTAGACAAACCTTGTATATTGTATACCTATTCCCACAATTGTTTGTAATAACCCTCAACAATTAACCTTCAACAATGTTTGTGTAAATCTAAATAAAAAGGATTTCTAGAGGTGTCGTCCTTCCTATTTTCAGCCTCTTATAGTGAGTGGTAATGTGACTATATTAAGAGTATCTGTCAGAAAGGTTGGGACATCTTTGGAAAGAGATCACCTTGAGCAAGTAAAAAAACTGCTGGACAGAAAGTAGGAAGACCTGGACTCTGGTCTCCCCTTTGCTGCTAACAGGCTGTGTAGCATCATCTTTGGGGCTGTTAAAAATGAGCAAATGAAAAACAAGTCCTGTTGAACTGACTCCAACTCATGAACCCTTGGGTGTCAGAGTAGAACTGTGCTCCACAGGGTTTTCAGTGGCTGATCTTTCAGAAGCTGATCACCAGACCTTTCTTCCAAGATGTCTCTGGGTAGACTGGAGCCTCTACACTTATGATTAGCACCTGAGCATGTCAATCATTTGCACTTATTAAAAGAGATATTACATTGATGACTTCTAAGATCTTGTTGAAGGAGCTCTGGTGGTGCAGTGGTTAAGGACTTTATCTGCTATTCAAAAGGTTGGTAGTTTGAATCCAATCAGTTGCTTCATGGGAGATAGATGAGGTAGTCTGCTTCCATAAAGATTTATAGCCTTGGAAACCCTGGCTGCTATGAGTCAGAATCAACTTGATGGCAGTAAGCTTTTTTTTTTTTTTCTTGGAAGATCTAGAACTTTTTGTCCTCAGGGGGCTGCTGACCAGTTTGCATTTTCTGCACAGTGCCTAGTCTGGGCTGGGCCATGACGGGTGCCCTGAAACTCCTCAACTGATTGCACAACATGGAATCCAATGGGCAAAAGCTGCAGACTCTGGGCCCAAACGAGCCCTGAGTCCTGAGGCAGTGATTCCCTCTAGATCTGGAAAGACATCCTGGAGGAGAAAGGAAATGACTATTGTGGAAAGCATAGAAAGCATCAAGGAGAATACTGCTTTCGGTTCCCTCAACCTCCTCCTCTTGCCCTCACCACAGAAGAGCATGCTGACACATCACTCAGTGACAGCCTCATTTCCTTGTAATAACTGATTTATAAGCTATAGCACGTATGTTTTCAAAAACAAGGACTTCCCTTCCTTTCTCAGTCCCAGTGGGAACACAGACTCCCGTCTTGTGCATACTTGGTGTTTTGGGGAGAGCTGCTGCTCCTACTTCTGCTCCTGGTAGAAATGGTGATGCTGCACCTGTGTGTGGATGACCCTTAAACTCTGCATAATATAGGACCCAACAAAGCAAAGTGGATACGTTTCTCACAAAGGGAGGCAAACTATAGGGTCTGGAATGCACTGATCTCTGTTTTTGTAGTATCACATTAGTAGATTGAAATCACCCTGGTGGAAGTATTTACACCATGGAAGTTGGCAGATGCTGCAAATCAGGGCTTCTTCATACATCTCCACCCTTGCAGAGAGCCAGTTGTTTAATATTTGCCAGCATACCAGTGATGCCAGTGATGGAAATTTCTAGCCCCTTACAAAGATCAAAACCAGGGAGCTCTGGTGGTGTAGTGCCTAAGGCCTTTGACTGCTAACCAGAAGGCTTGTGGTTCAAACCCACCAGCCATTCCTCAGAAGGAAGATTGGGCAATCTACTTCTATAGAGATACCACCTCAGAAAACCAAGGAGGGGTTGCTATGAGTCGGAAATGGTCTTTTTTTTTTTTTTTGGTTTAGAAAGGCTGGTCAGAATAGTCAGCTACCTTTTAATTTTTCTCTTCCTTATCCCTACATTGTAGACAGCATACAGCCTATGAAGGACTCAAGAGACCCAGATATTAATCTTGTCTACTATCAAGCTATGTGATCTTGAAATGTCACATATACTCTCTGAGCCTCAGCTTTCTCATCTGTAAAGTAGAAGGACTGGACCAGGAATTATCAAGCTTCCTTTTGGCTCTAAAAGGCTTTGATCCCATGGTTATAGCTTCTTTCACAGTTCTTCCAGGGGCCGGTAAGGCTGCAGAGTCTTGGTTCAGGCACAGCCCAAGCCCGTCTGAGAAATCATGACAGAAGCAAAAAACTTAACCGTAACATCTCTCCCGACTCTAGAATCTCCAGAACTATAAAAGATGCTTTTCTCTGAGCCCACGCCCTTGGGATTGGCTGTATGTCTTTCTCTCTTCACTAAATTGTCAGATATTCTCAAAACAACTGATGCTCCCTTTACTTTTCCTCAAATAGTGAAAGCGTGGGGTATGCTTTCCTTAGAAGCAGTCTGGCTTACCCAAAACAGTGTGGACTCAGAAGTGATATTAGCTGGCCTGAACTCAAATGCCTGCTCTATCATTTATAGTTGGTAGATTTAAGCAATTTATTTAGTTTTTGTGGGTCTTTTTCCTTTCCATCTGTAAAATGGGGATGATACTCCTTGTTTTATAGGGTCATTGTGAAGATCAAGAGAGATAACCTGCAAATTGCCCAGCACAGTCTTTAGTGCATAGCTCACTGCTATGGAGTTGGAGCCAACTCATAGCAACCCCTCCTTGGGTTTCCAAGGTGGTATTACTACAGAAGTAGATTGCCCAATCTTCCTTCTGAGGAGTGGCTGGTGGGTTTGAACCACAAGCCTTCTGGTTAGCAGTCAAATGCCTTATTAAAAGCATGCTATTTGCCTTTCCTGTTCCTTTTCTGGGGGCAAAGTCAAATCTTTATTGATCTGAGAGTTCCATTTAAGTCCAGAGATCATGTTAAAAACATGACTTCGACACAACAAAATACCTAAAAGCTTTGCTCCACATCCTACGTTGGTGAGTAGCAACTGGGGTCTTAATAAGCTTTCAAGCAGCCATCTAAGATGCAGCTAATGGTCTCCTAGAATCAGAACCAAAGAAGAATGCAAAAAAAAAAAAGGGGGGGGGCGTTTGGAAGCAATTAGCCATAGGACATGATGACCCTTGAGACCAGAAGAACTAGATGATGCTTGGCTACCAATGCCAACCACTCAGGAAAGGATCAACTGGAGATCCTAGATAGGGTGGGAGGAAAAACGTGGAACAAAATCCAAAAACTCAATAATGACCAGAATTACTGGTCAGATGAAATCTGGTGAGATCCCCAATACTATGGCCCTGGAATACATTCTGTGCCTGGAATAAAGCGCATTCCCAGGGGCTGGCTCTCAGCTCAATAGTTAACAAGATGTACACGCAGACCACTCATCCCAGGATAACGCACCCACATACTCTATGGTAATACATCCCTTAGAGCAACAGACCACAGGACACCAGAGGACCAACATTCAAACTGAGGAAATGCAGGACAAACAGGAGTGCATAAATATGAGGGACACAGGGGGAGGGTTACAGGGTAGGGAGGAGAGGAGACTGGGTTAGGGTTGGACATGGTAAATGGGGAATGAAACTAAATGTACATGTAATGTTGAATGTAAAACAAGCTCTTAAGATAAAAAGAAAAAAAGAAAAATATGAACTATCATGAACAAGAAAAAAACAAAACAAATCATGCCTTTGAGATCACAGCATCTGTCATTGATCCTTCTCCCCTTGTAAGGCCACTAAGATCTTTCTGGGTCCCTAGATCCCTGGGATCTGTTGGATTGTAAGGACCTTCAATGGCGCCCTTCTCTGGAAGCTGCTCTGGCAAAGTCTAGACAAGTGTGATGCTGAAGGGCTGGCGAGTGAGGGGCTGTGCTCTCTGAGGTCCTGGCCTCACCTGGTGTCATCTCTTTCCCAGTGCCTTTGCCACCTTTTGGTCACTAGCCCGGGCTTGTCTCTCTGCATGGCCACTGGAGCAGAGAAGGGTGTCGCCTTCCTCTTCCCCCTGGCTCACAGGAAGCCGGAATCAGCAGTTTCCTCCTGACAACTCTGGCCGATGCTAACCAGTCTGCACACCACAAGGAGATTAACCCTTGCATTTCCTCTCTACTTCGCCTAATCAGTTAGGCTCATAGGACATCAGATTACAGGGTTGGAAAGAACTTTGAAGATTATCTGGTCCAACCTCTTCATGTTACAGAAGGGAAGGTTACTGCCCAGAGAACGTACTACTATTGTTTACGTTAATAATTATAGCTGCCATTTATTGATTTCTTATGATGTGCCAGGTATTGTGTTAAGCATTTTACACAAATATTCTATTTGAGCCTAATAATAACCATGGAAAGGAGGTATTATTATCTCTATTGTGAAGATGAAGCAACTACATCTCATACCAGGTATATAATTTGCCCAAAGTCACAAAGGTAGTAAGTGGTTGTGTTGTTGTTAGATGCTGTCAAGCCAATTTCAACTCACAGTGACCCCATATGACAAAGCAGAATTCCTTCATAGGATTTTCTTGGCTGTCATCTTTATAGGAACAGATTGCCAACTCTCTTTTTTCCCACAGGGCCACTGAGTGGGTTCAAACCACCAACCTTTCAGTTAGCAGCCAAGTGCTTAACCATCATGCCACCAGGGCTCCTTAGTAAGTGGTAGAACTGATTTTTAATCCAAATCTGTCAGATTTTTAAAGCCCATAATCTTACTCACTACCCCTAAAGTGAGAGCTCTGGTGGCATAGTGCCTAAGGCATGCTAACCAGAAGGCTGGCTGTTCAAACCTACCAGCTCCTCATTGGAAAGAAGCTGGACAATCTACTTCCATAGATATACCACCTCGGAAACCCAAGGAGGGGTCGCTATGAGTCAGACATGACTCAACAGCAGTGAGTTTGGTTTGGTTTTTACCCCTACGGTACTGCAAAAATGATGGCATGAACAGCAGCAGAGCCTAGTCATGATCTGTTTTCTCATTGCTAAAAGAGGCTTTTGCTTACAATAGCAGGCAGCCTCAATTTAGGGTCCTCAGAAAGCAGCTATAGGGATCCCTCAAAATCAGTCCCAGATTTTCTTATGGGCTGCAGATCCTGAGCCCACAGCTCTTTGCAGAGAAACCAATTTTGGCATTCATCACACTAACAGTTAACTAACATGCCAACCTTGGTGCTAATCTCTTCATATATTATCTTATCTGACCCTACCATGAGGTAGACATTCTCATTTCCATTTCACAGATGAGAAATCTGAAAGGTTGAGGCATTAAGATATTAGAAGCTAGTAAGTAAGACAAGTAGGAGCTCTGGTGGCATAGTGCATAAGGCATTTGACTGCTAACCAGAAGGCTGGTGGTTCAAACCCACCAGCCATTCCTGAGAAGGAAGGTTGGGCAATCTACTTCCGTAGTGATACTGCCTTGGAAACCCAAGGAGGGGTGGCTATGAGTTGGATCTGGCTCAATGGCAGTGAGTAAGTAAGACAAGTGGAATGGGAACCCTCGTCTTTATCTCATAAGCCTAAACTCTTAGCCACTGCATTATGTTGCCACCTGTTTTTATACCTCTTTCCCACTAGATTATGAGATCCGTGAAGGTAGTGATGTCTTTTTATGTTTGCATCCTCAGTGACTAGTACAACACTGGGCACTTGGAAAATCTTCAACACTTACTTGTTAAACAAAAGGAGGAATGGGTGGATGAATGGATGATAGATGGATAGAGGGATGGATGGATGAAGGGGTGGGTGGGCAGATGGATGATTAATGGATGGACGCATGGATGGAGAGGCAGATGGATGTACAGATGATTGATGGTAGAACAACAGATAGATGGATGGAAGGGTAACAGCGATGACTTAGATGACAGCATCTTGACTCTCTTATAGGATAATGCTCTCTGCTAATTTTAACTCTGCGGTCTTAAGGTCTGGATCCTGAGCTTCCTTTCCCTTCCCTTCACTCCTTCCTTGCACAGACTTCTAATTCTTCCTCTCTAGTTTATAATCTATCAGTCAAGCTCAACTCTCTTCTGATTTACATATCCAACTGCCTTCTCTACCCCATAACTGGGCACACAGTGGCCTATACGGCCCTGCAAGTACAGGATCTGGTACTGACCTCACCTCCTACCACTCCTTCTCTCATATGCTCTGATCCAGCTGTGATGGCTTCCTTGCTGTTCCTCAAACACTCCACACATGCCTGGAATTCTTTACACTTGCCCCTCCCTCTTTCTTTGCATGCTTTCTCCAGATACCTGCTGTTGCTCACTTCCCTACCTTTCTCAGTCCTTGCTCAAATGCTGGTTTCTCGGTAAGTCAACTCCTCTGGCACAGCCTCTCCTTCTTCCTTGCTTTATTTTCATTTGACATATTATATATTTTATGCAGTTTATTTGTCTTGCCTCACTAGCATGTAACCCTCATGAAGGCAGGGATCTTTGTCTGTATGGTTCACCACTGAAGCCTGCAGAGCCCGCAGTAATGCCTGGCTCAGTGTAGGCATTCCATATATATATTTATCGAGTGATTAAATGAATCAATCAATTGACAAGTGATTGGATTAGTAACTCTCTATGTTCACTGGTTATCACCTGATAACATGAACCTGAAAACCTCTCTCATTTTAGGCCTTTGGATGTTTAGGAGCAGGGTGGGCAGAAAGATATGAACAGGAAGTCTGAGCCTGGACCGAAAATCAGGAGCAGAGCAAGGTGAGCACCTCCTTACCGCCTTGGTGCACTGGACATCCTTCCCCAGCAGCCAGTTGAGCTCCAGGTTCCCCTCGCCATGGTAGCAAGACTGAAGACGCTCCTTGATCTGCAGGTTGATGGCACGGATGGGGAAGGCACAGAGGGCAGAATCGTCGGGTGGGTGATGATACTGCTTCTGCCCTTTGGAGAAGATAGCAAACAGTACATCATCCTGGCTGCTGATGTTGAAAGCCTGGCCAAGGGAGTCCCCAGGCTTGGCGAGGTAAGCGGCCTGCAGGAGGCGATATTCCACCCCAGCCCGTGTGCACCCAAAAGGCAGGGACACATACGAGTGGAACTTGGGGTCATCCTTGCAGAGACGCACAATGCGTGAGGTGTAGAAGAGGTCTCCGGCGGAGTTGATGGCCATGCCCTCGGGGGTCTCAGGCTGGACAGTGAGGAAGTAGACAAAGCCCCCACTGGCAAAGCCATAGATGTAGAAGATGTCAAAATGGGAGACCAGAGCCAGGGTGTCTGAGGGTATCTTGATAAGGGAGGAGACAAAATCACTGTGTAGCTCATAGTCAAGCATGGCTGAGGACTCAGGGTCACGGGGCAGCTTCCGGCTGGACAGGGTCGGGAAGTAATCCTGCTTTCCATCCACAGCAGTGCCGATGAAGAGCTTGCCATCCTCACCCTCAGAACGCACGATCACCCCGTACATGGTGCCTGTCTTATTGACACTGGACAGATAGTGCTCCTTCTTATGGGATGGCTCCACCAGGATGAAGAGGTCATCCAGCCTCAGCAGCTTGCAGACCCCCTGGTAGAGGCTCCCACAGGCCAGCAGACGGTTCTCAGAGTAGTCAATAATGAGCAGCTTGTTGACGTTGTTGGTGAGGGTGAGTACCTCGCTGCAGGGCTGCACAATGAGTGGTGGGTAGCAAGACTTGTTGTCTTCCTCTGGACCTGTCTTGTGAGCCACCTGGATGGTCAAGTTGCCCGTCAGCTTATACACCCTGTTGATAGCCCCCACATATACAGCCCCTGTTCCCCGGTGGACGGTCAAGTGGTTGAAGGTCCAGTCACGGTTCTCAGAGCGAAAGGTGCTGAACTGAGACATGGCAGCTGCTGGGCGGGCCAGCAGCACCCAGACCACTGAGAGCAAGACCATAGACCAGCTGTCAACCTCGGGGGCCCGTGGCCAGGGCCTCCTCTGTTCCATTCTGAGTAGGGCGAGGACAAGGAGATTGATCCTCTGAGCTCTCATCTAGTCCACCTTCCTGGGTTGGTCCTCACATGGTTCTGCAAAACACAAGGCAGAGTGGTCAGATGGAAAACCAGTTCTGGGAGAAGTGAATAGGATAGCTTGACCCAGGGTCCCAATCCTGACTAGCTCTGTGCATCTCTTCCTTCTGTATTTCAGTTTTTCTATTTTTAACATATTTTCTCCCTTTTAGGGATGTTCAGGGAATCCTATTATCTATTTTGGTCTCCAGCCTTTTTCGCTGTAAAATACTTTTTTACTTTACAAAGCATCTCTATTTCTGTCCTCTTAAGACATAATTTTTTATCTCCCTGAGAGGTTAAAAGATGGTTTAAGTTCACCCAGCTATTTGAACCTGGTGTCGGGACTAAAGCCAGTCTTTCCCATCCAATCCTCCCATCTGTAGGATCCCAGTGGAATGGAAATCTCTCCTGTTTTTTAACAGCTTGTTAAGAAGGCACTTCCCCAGGTACTCTGGGCCAACTACTCCCAGAGTCTAATATCACAAATAAAATTCCTTCTCATTTCAGACTTCCATCCCCTACAACTGTTGTGTTTCTTTACTTTCTCATGCGCTGTCCTTCACAGGCTGGGGGAAGAGCTGCCGACTGAAGAACAGTGCCCCTCACTCCCCCCTCAGTCTCTTCTTCTCCAGACAGAAAATCCCTCATCTGCAGCTGTTGAAACTTTATAGGAAAGTGAAATATGCTGTGGTCAGTATGATTGGGATTCCCACTTATTCTCCTCAAGAACTGGAAGAGCCCCAGGGAGATGGGCAGGGAACGCCCACCCCTCTTTGGGATAGGAGGATGCCCATCACCACCACTCCAGTGAATCAGGCTGCCAGAGCTGGGGAAAACTGCTTCAACTTCTGCTTCTGTGGCAGGAGTACATGGGGAGTTTGGTTCCTGGTTAGAGGGACTGGCTAGCTGAGTCCAGTGTCAGCCACCTGGACAAGAGTTCTGCATTTGGGGGAATGTGGGAAAGGACAAAGGGAAGTGCATTGAGGTTGAGTTTCTTTCCAGCCACTGCTTGGGTCTCATGACTGCTCATGGATCCATGAACTCAGCCTCTATCTGCCAGGCCCAAAATCTAAGCTCATTCCTCTCCCTCCTGACTCATAAACCCTACTTTTCCACTTCCATATTTCAAGGAAGCTGCCCAGAGAAGCAAGGTAGGGCTCCTGAAGAGAGCTTCTAGAGACTCCTGGGCAGGGATGCAAGAGGTAAGACAGCAAAGGCTGGCCTGTCATAGTGCAGCTCTTGGCTTTTATGGAGGGGACAGTGGTGGCAGGAGCAGCTGCTGTAAGATCATCTAGCAGAAGAATCTTTTCTCTCCAGCTGGACAGATTGTCCTACACCCTCCTCAGACAAGTCCAGACAGAACTCTGGGTGCATCAGGCAGCAAGAACGGAAACACCCAAGTGAAGGTTAGAGAATTCGCTCCAAGGCAGCTTAGGAGAGGCCTGCCCCTCCACCTCCCAATCTGGGTGGACTGGGTTATAATTAGAACAGACACCACCTTGAGAATGACCACTGCTTTTTTTCTTTAGAATTTCTCCTCCCTCCTCAATCCTGCATCCTAGAGCTGACAGCCATAATGGTGCCAGGGGTTGGTCCCACTTGATTCCCCTCCTCCAACAGGCTCCACTAGGATATTCTGGGGTAACTCATGAGCCCCCAGGCTTCCTTGGGAAGAGGAAGGCAGCAGCAGCATGAGGTGCAGGCTGACCTCAGCTCCTCTGACACACCTCTTCCGGCAGCACGAGCACACCGGCAGAGCTCCCAGCAGACTGAGCTTTCGGTTTGAACACCAAAGGTTATTTTTAGCTATGTCCTGAGGCCAGTAGCAGGACATGAATTCCTCAAGAGGAGCTGTGGAAAGGAAGTAATAGAATCCCCAAATTCTCCAGCTGTTCAGGGAACTGACTCTGGGTAGGAAAACTCCTTTAGCTAAAGGTAGAGATCAGTGTGTCCCACGGGGAGGTGTGAGGATGACAATTATAATGGTCGCCATTCTGAACGTGGGGTCCTGCATTTTAGAAAGTGTTCCCTGAGATGCTGTCACATGGAGGTTGTGGACAGAACACTCTTGCCTTCTCTACAATATACTGCACATATGTGTTGAGCCCGCAGATTCAGGAAGGGGGTTCTGGTAGCAGAGATAACATTAAAGACATAGTGTGAAGTTAACATTAACCATCTCACCTCCCTGGCCAGCATATTCCCAACTTATAGTTTGGAGAGTAAGTAGCTTTTGTTGGTAGGCAGAATTAGGAAATAAATTTGGGGCCCTGGGCAAGTCAAGCCTCATTTTCCTTTATGGTACAATGAGGATAACTATAGGACCTACTTCTCAGGTTGTCATGAGATAATGCTGGCACCCAGTGAGTGCTCAATTTATGTGAGTTACTGTTGGTATAATTGAAGCTTCTCCAGGAGACTCCATTTTATGAATCCTGCCAAAGCTCTTGACTTCTTTTTATTTATTTCCTTTTTTAAAAAATTGTGATTTGGGTGAAAATTTACAGAGCAGATTCACTTTCCATACAGTAGTTCACATACACTTTGTCTCATGATATTGACCACAATTTACCACAATGCAACAGCTCCCCTCCCACTTCCTCCGAATAGTTACCTCTTCCCTATGTCCATCCCTCCATGCACTCCAGCCCTCTGAACTGTCTCGCTGTGCATAAGCAGCCCTTCTTTCTCCCATGATTGTTCTCTCCAAGGAGTGTTTCTACCTTAGGTAAATGTTCAACTCATATGCCTGTCTTTTGTTTGGCTGGAAACCACAGGTGTGTGTTCAATTCCAGACCTGAAGGGCAGCTAGGGGCCATAGTCTCAGTGGTTCCACCAGACTCTATCGGACCAGCAAACCTGGTCTCTCACCCCCTTTTTTTTTTCTCCAAATGATTTTGAGTTTTGTTCCACATTGTTCTCCCTTTCTATCCAAGATCTCCTACATAGATCCCCATCCAAGTGGTTGACAGTGGTAGCTGGGTACCATATAGTTCTTCTGGTTTCATAGTCATATAGGCTGCAGACTGGATAGTGTACCAGTTGCTAGGACTAATTAATTCCATGAATTTTTGGTTTTCGTCATTCTTCTTTGCTCTGGACAAGGAGAGACCCATCACTGAATCTAGATGGCAGCTTGCAAGCTTTTAAGATCCCAGTCGCTACTCGCCAAAGTAGGAGGTGGAACAATGTTTTGTGTACTATGTTATGCCAATTGAGCTTGATGTCCTCTGTGACTATGGTCCCAAGCCCACAGGTTCAACTACTCAGTCTCTCTGGGTAGCTGCCTGTGACCAATCAGTGACTACAACCTTGCCCCTTGTCAGCTCTACTATACACCTGGGAATTCTGATCATTCACATAAACTTATAGGACCATTGTATGCCAACCCTATACATGTTCTTGGGTACACTCCCTGCTTCATAGACATACCTACTAGTTCAGCCTGTCCACCCATCTATCCACCCGTATACCCATATTTGCTTTCACTGACATTGCAGTACTGTATGTGCAGAAGGGTTCATCTTTGTTGTTTGTACCTCCCATGTACCTCTCTATTCTTGACTTCTTTATACATATTTTTTTGTCCTTTCCATGGGAATAAATATGGCAGCTAGCCCTTTGATCCCCAGTCCTGCCTGACCCAGTGAAGGGCTTCAGTCTGGGAAGCATGTGGTAAGAGAAAGGAGACTGTGTAGGAAATAGATCCAAGGTGATCTGTTTCGACAATCACTGCACAAGTCCCAACACAACCCCTCCTCAAATTGCAGGGAGGCTAATGAAGCACAGGGTCCCTGAGAGTTAGATGGTTTTCCCCAAAAGATACTTTCAAGTTCTAATCTCTGGTACTTGTAAATGTGACCTTATTTGGAAATAAGATCTTTGCAGATGCAGTCAAGTTAAAATGAGGTCTCACTGGATTAGGATGGGCTCTAAATCCCATATGTTCTTATAAGAGAGGGAAGTTTGGACACAGAGAGCAGATACACAGGGATAATGTCATGTGATGATGAAGCGAGAGACTAGAGTAGAGCATCTAGAAGCAAAGAGATGCCAAAGATTGCCAGCAACTACCAGAAGCTAGGAGAGAGGCATGGACCAGAATCTCCCTCAGAGCCTCGGAAGGAAACAACTGTGGACACCTTGATATCAGATGGTATTCACTCCAGAGCTTGGAGTGAATAAATTTCTCTTGTTTTAAACCAGTAAGTTTGTAGTCATTTGTTACAGCAGCCCTAGGAAACTAATACAGATGGTGAATAGGAAAACAGTTCTGCTGGCTAGAATGCATGGGGTTATGGAGCAAGATGAATGGGTAGGGGATTTGGGAGCCCTGGGTTAAAATTCTGCTTGTATCACTCATGAGTTGTGGGGCTTTGGGCTGGTCTAGCATCTCCCTACATCTATTTATCTTAAAATAAAGGGTGTTTGAATTAGCTTATCTGTAAGATTTCTTCTTTCTGGTTATTTCAGGTTAAATACTACCTTGAGACTTGATTCCTTTAGCTGTTAGAGTCTGTGATTCCAATAGCAATTCCCTTCATCTTACCTAGTGAGGCCAGGCATTCTCATGAGACCACCACAGCTGGGCTGTTTTCCTCCCACCCCTCAATCAGCATCTGATCTGGGACACTGCTCCTGGGGACTGGCCAAATGAATTCATTCCATGGGGCTCAGGAATTGCCCATCTGGGAGCAGCTGGCACTGCTACTGGATCAAGAAGAGGCATCATCTCTTTCAGGGCAGGGGCTGGCAGAGGAGGCTCACATTCCATCCTGGGAGTGTAGCTTTCATAAGGACAAGTAACTTCAATGGCAAGTAGAAAGCCTCTGTCTTTCTATGCCAAGGTTGATATTTCCAAGTAGCTGCTCCAAAGCCAGGCCTAAATGGAAAGGATAAGGCCTTGTATCCAAGTATAAAATGAGGGGGAAGGGCACTCATCTTTGTGCCTCTTACAAGGCAGTGTAGTGTGATGGTTGTATGTGCAACTTAGATGCTTGTACTCAAACAGAACCTTTG